GAGAGTTTAAGTGTTCAGAAATGTGCTGGAGCCAGCTCCTACCAGCTCCCAAGAGCCAACTGTACACATATCTTCCCCAATCTGAATTTAATGAGAGCTTGTTGGCAGTCTGAAATTGTCCATGGTAAGAGTACTTACACCACAGAAATAAAAACAATTATTGAATGCAGGCTGGGCCCAATGGCTCACCTCTATAATCCCAGCACTTTGGGAGGCTGAGGCAGGAGGATCACTTGAGCCCAGGAGTTTGAGGCCAGCCTAGGCAACATAATAAGACTCTATCTCTAAAAAGTAAGATAAAATTAACAAATGCTACAAATCAAGGCTTTTTTCCTGGAGAGCTGGTTGTTACACATGTACTTTCACCTTATTGACCCAAGGGAAGGGGTCCATACCTTGAAACATTCATAACTTGCTTGTGGCATACCTGTTGGTCAGCTCTGCAATAAAGTCTTGTTTTTTTTGTTTGTTTTGCTTTGTTTTGTTTTGTTTTGTTTTTTTACTTTCCAAATATAAGTGGTTTTTGTTTGTTTTGTTTGTTTGTTTTTTCAAGACAGAGTCTTGCTCTGTCGCCCAGACTGGAATGCAGTGGTACGATCTCAGCTCACTGCAACCTCCACCTCCTGGGTTCCAGCAATTCTGCCTCAGCCTTCCAAGTAGCTGGGATTACAGGCGTGTGCCACCATGTCTGGCTAATTTTTGTATTTTTAGTAGAGATGGGGTTTTGCCATGTTGGCCAAGATAGTCTCAAAGTCCTGACCTCAAGTGATCCTCCCACCTCGGCCTCCCAAAGTGCTAGGATTACGGGTGTGAGCCACCGTGCCTGGCCCAAATATAAGTTTTTTATACAAATTGTACCAGGCAGCTGCTCTGTAATTTGATTTTATTATGTAGAATAAAAATTTAAAGGCTGGGCATGGTGGCTCACATCTGCAGTCCCAGCACTTTGGGGGGCCAAGGTGGGCAGATCACCTGTGGTCAGGAGTTCAAGTGCAGCCTGGCCATCATGGCAAAACTCCGTCTCTACTAAAAATACAAAAAAATTTAGCCAGGCATGGTGGCGAGTGCCTGCAATCCCAGCTGTTTGGGAGGCTGAGGTAAGGGAATTGCTTGAATCCAGGAGGCGGAGGTTGCAGCGAGCCAAGATGGTGCCACTACACTCCAGCCTGGATGACAGATACTCAGTCTCAAAAAACAAACAAACAAAAATTTAAAACATTCTGTGTCAAGCTTGAGTAAAATAAATTTTAGAGTAAATCCACCTTGAGGCTAGAATATCATGTATAAACACTGGCAACTAACTATAGATAAGACAATATGGAGGGAGGAAAACCTCAGTGAAATTTAAGTTTTGCTCAGTCACCTTACTAATGAAGCCCAGTTCACAAATCCCATACTCTCAACAGAGCTGTCAGTACGTTCTCAGTTCTGTAGCCCCCTAAATACAAATAGGTGAGAAAGAAAGTTCTTATCATTAAAAAACAGAGACCAAAACAAATGAACAGGACAACAAAATGCAGAGGTATTGAGATAAAGCAAGAAGTAAAATAAATAAATAGTAAAACCGTTAGAGACGTCTTCAGAGAGATAAGAGAAGATACGCACTTATGAAATAATACAGAGCCCTTGGAAATTGAACACATAGCAGGAGCAAAAACTTTAATAAAGAAGTTGGAAGATGAAGACTCTTTTAGAAAGAAGAAAGAAAAGACAAGAAGGTGGAAATGGAAGAGAAAAAAAAATAAGGAAGCTATTGGATCACCGCAGGTTGTCCAATATCTGCCTATAATGTGAAATCCTCCATGGCAAGGATTTTGTATGTTTGATCATTGCATAAAATAGAACCAGACACACAATAGGCCATCAATAAATAGTTCTGCAAGAAATGAATTTCCGGAGTGTAAGGATCCACTCAGAACAAGAATGGGGAAAGACTCATGCCAACACACACGACTGTGAAACTTCAGAACATCAGAGACAAAGGGATCTTCAAAGCTTCTGGAGAGGAGAAAAAACACGTATTTAAGGATCAAGAGTCAGACTGGCTTTGAACTCTACAACAGCAAAGTTGGAAACATTATATACCAGTAAGGAGACATTCTGCACTTTTTATACATTCTTTCAAATGCCCAATGATACAGAGAAACCTTTTTCATTCACGACCAATGACAGAGCAATCTTGAATATCTTGCAAGATTACACCTTATTTGCAAGCACATATGTGAACTAAATTCTTTCAAAATATTGTCATCAAAAATGATTAGCAAAGCAAGTTAACGTCGAAAGTTTTGTGGCTTGATATTAACTCCTTGGTGCTAAATTAAAATGAAACCTGTTTATTATTCAGTCTATTTTGTGTTCCTTCACTGCATGCAATTGCAACAAGTAGACATTGGAGGCAAAAAGTAAAATTACATAACACAAAATAGACTCTCAAATGTTCCTCCAACAAAGCAGAAGCTAATAATGCTTACCTCTGGTCAGTATTTGTGTGGTGACCAGGGTTAGTGGTACTGCCTTGAGGCTCCATGTGGCTGGATTGTTGATATTTTCTGTCAACTTGTAGGTGATAGAAACTCAACTCAATCTAGTTTTAGCAACAGAGAATGCATAGGCTCCTGGAAATGGGAAGTCCAAGGGGTGGGTCCTGCTTCAGGCATAACTGGATCTAAGAGTGCAAATCATGTCATGGGATCTCTCCTTTTACCTTTCTCTTCACTGCTCTTCTGTTTTCTCTCTGTGGCTTCATTTCCACGCAGGCTGTCTCCATATGGAAGCAAAGATGACCAGCAAACAGCTCAGGCTTACGTTTTCCTCATGGCTAGCAATTCAACTCTTGCTTTCCTAGCATTTGCATCCATCTTTGGAAAGAATTTAGATTATGTCACTTGCTTCCTCCTTGACCAATTGTGTGGTAGGGAGAATTAGGCACTCTGATTGGGCTGCTTGGTTCATAAACTGATGAGATTTGTTTTAGGGCCAGATGGTTGGTATCTGTGGGGAGAGAAAGGATATAGAAGTTGGGAATCAAGCAGGTTCTGGATTTAAACCCATGTATCTGACAGACCCACCTAAATCCCATAGAGTGGGAGGGTGATAACTTTCAAAAGAAGAGGATCAGAAAAGACTCCTCCCCATCATCTCCCCTCAAAATAACAGATGATCACTTACATGAGATTTTCCCTAGGAGTCAAAATTCCTCATGCTGTAACATACTAAATAAAATGCAATCGTTTTAAGAAGAGCATACTTGAGAAAATTATCACCTTGAAGTGATGGATGGCTTAATTATAATTTAAAAAAGAAAAAAAACGCAACCCACAGCATTATCCAAATTACTTGAGGTATAACATACAAACTCTTTGGTTTCTAGGAGATATGTAAATGATTCACTTGTATTTTTAATTTGTAAGTAAATGGTGCCAGGTTTCCAGACAGAAACTGAAGCCAAATCTTTATCCATGGAACTTCACAGTGAGAGGCACATCTTAGAGATGAATACAAATCAATAATACAAATTATCCTTATCTAAATGTGCCCCAATATTGTACTTCTTGTGCTCTGGTCATGATACTCCCACAGCTCTGGGTGTTTCAAATTAGATGTGGATTCTTCCTCTTTTTTTTTTTTTTTTTGAGACAGGATCTTACTCTGTTGACCAGGCTGGAGTGCAGTGGCATGATCACAGCCCACCGCAGCCTTGACCTCCCAGGTTTAAGCAATCCTTCCACTTCAGCCTCCAGAGCAGCTGGGACTACAAGCATGCACCACCATGCCTGCCTAAATTTTTGTATTTTCTGTAGATACTGGGTTTCGCCATGTCGCCTAGGCTGGTCTTGAACTCCCAGGCTCAAGTGATCCACCCGCCTCAGCCTCCCAAAGTGCTGGGATTACAGGTGTGAGCCATCACGCCCAGCCTCTTATTTTTAAAACATCTCGTTTATTGTACTTTATAGCTTCAGAATTGATCTGATCAAAATACATGCTATTCAACTTGCATGGTAAAATCTTTCCTTGTGTCTGTCAGAATCTAACTCCCTACTTCTATATCTTTCGTCTCCCAACAGATACCAACCTTCCGGCCCCTAAAACAAATCTCAGCCCCAGGAGGGCACTCATGTCCATCATCTAGAGATTTGGCACACAAAGTCATACTCATTGCTAGACTAGCTCTGACACGCTCCAATAACTGGACTTCCTACTTGTCTCCAAGACCAGGCCTTCTGGTAACCAGTTTTTGTAACTACATCCCTGTCTGTTCCCTGTGCCTGGATCCCTGACTTAGAAACCTACTGAGAACCACGCTTTCTCTAGACCTGGAGGCCTGCCTTGTTCTTATCAGTCTCTATTCTTATCATACCTAGGGACAGAAGGTGTGCTCCACAACTTCAACCTAAATATCTGACAGATAACTTTTCATATTTGGAGATCTATGCAGGGGAACACTTAACATCTACCATCTGAGACATTCCATCTTCTTTGTATTGAGATGACGGGTACTGACTTTTCTTCCTTCCTTTCTTTCTTTCTTTTTTTTTTTGAGATGGTGTCTTGCTCTGTCACCCAGGCTGGAGTGCAGTGGTGCGATCTCAGCTCACTGCAACCTCTGCCTCCCGGGTTCAAGCGATTCTCCTGCCTCAGCCTCCTGATAGGTGGGATTATGGGCATGTGTCACCACACCCAGCTAATTTTTGTATTTTTAGTAGAGATGGGGTATTGCCACGTTGGCCAGACTGGTCTTGAACTCCTGACCTCAGGTGATCCACCCACCTTGGCCTCCCAAAGTGGTGGGATTACAGGTGTGAGCCACTGAGACTGGCCTTTTTTTTTTTATTTTTATTTTTTTATTTAATTAATTTTTTTTTTTTTTTTTTTTTTTTTTTGCCAGAGTCACACTCTGTTGCCCAGGCAGCAGTGCAATGACTCGATCTCGGCTCACTGCAGCCTTGACCTACCTGGGTTCAGGAGATCCTCCCACCTCAGCCTCCTGAGTAGCTGGGACCACAGGCTTGAACCACCACACCTGGCTAGTTTTTGTATTTTTTGTAGAGACAGGGTTTCTCCATGTTGCCCAGGCTATGGGTACTGACTTTTCTTGGATTGTTACCTAATGTCTCTTGCTGTACCTGCCCAAAGTCGATTTACCCTCCCCGATACCTGTGCCCATTGCTGTCCCTTTCCATGCCTATTTTACCTTGGTGGAGGAACTCTTCCAGTTCTTGCCCTTCTCTACACCTCTGAGGAAAGCAAGATTATTTCCCATCCTGCTGCAGTTTCTCAATAACCTGAGTTTCATTTCATGAAAAAAATTACTCTTTAGGAAGAGTATTTTAACTGGGTGCTGGGAGAGTAAAGCATATGATTTTTACACTTCTTTTGTGCTGCTCTTGTAAGACAATTTATCCTTAACTTCCTTTATTATTCCAAATTTTGTCATTTTTGTCTCTTCAGCATCTGTTTTCTCCTCCCTATCACCACCTTTTTTTTTTTTTTTTGATACAGAATCTCACTCTGTCACACAGGCTGGAGTCCAGTGGCATGATCTCAGCTCACTGCAACCTCTGCCTCGTGGGTTCAAGTGATTCTTGTGCCTCAGCCTCTCAAGTAGCTGGGATTACAGGCACACACCACATGCTTGGCTTATTTTTGTATTTTTAGTAGAGATGGGATTTCACCATGTTGGCCAGGCTAGTCTTGAACTTCTGGCCTCAAATGATCCGCCTGTCTTGGCCTCCCAAAGTGCTGGGATTACAGGCATGAGCCACAGTGTCCAGCCCTTTTCCTCCCCTTATTTTGATAATTGAGTGCCCCTTACTATGTGGGAATTAACTCTTACCCATTTGATCCATAGACTTTCCCTAGGATTTGATGTGTACATGTTTGGAGAGAAAAGTTGAGGTACTTAGGCTATACTGGAGCTATCTTCCCCGACCTTTGAAGTCATCCTGAAGAAAGCTTGAAGGCACCAAGAAATCAGGGAACGAAGTCAAGCCAAGTAGAGATGACAAAGAAGAGGCAGAAAGTCGTAATGACACACACAACCCTGTCCTTCCCAGTATGTGAGCCAATAAACCACTTTTTTTTTTTTTTTTTTTTGCTTTGCTTAAGCTACTTTGAGTTGAATTTTTGTCCTTATAATGAAGAGTCCCAACTAATATAGCCCCGTATTTCAAGAAATTCACATATCTGGCCAGGCACAGTGGCTCACGTCTGTAATCCCAGCACTTTGGGGGGCCTAGGTGGGTGGATCACCTGAGGTCAGTAGTTCGAGACCCACCTGACCAATATGGTGAAACCTGGTGTCTACTTAAAATACAAAAATTAGCCAGGTGTGGTGGGGTGCACCTGTAGTCCGAGCTACTCAGGAGGCTGAGACAGGAGAACTGTTTGAACCTGGGAGGCGGAGGTTGGAGTGATCCAAGATCTCTCCACTGAACTCCAGCCTGGGCGACACAGCGAGACTCCAGCTTAAAAAAAAAAGAAAGAAAGAAATTCACATATCTAACCAAAATCCACATGTTAGGGATCTGAGGGCTAAGTTCTTCTTTTTCTTTCCCTTCAAGCTCTATCCCACCCCTCCGAAAGCAGATCTGGGAAGAGTTTCCTTATAACTTGTGTTGAAGCAATGTGGCTTAAGCCCAAAGCTGAAGTAGGACTTTCACTAATTCTATTCACATCCAGGCTTTCCAATCTATCTTTAAAAAGAGTTGGCTCTGCCAGGAAGACACTCCTTAAGTCAGTAGTGCATAGGATCAAGATCTGTTTCATAAACCCTGGCACTGCAGAAGAGATAGCATAGCGAGCGTATGTGAGACAGCAAGCCCCCTTTTCAATGCCCAGCTCCTGGTTCCTGCTTCTAATGACTTGTCCTGATGTCACCAATCAGGAAAGTCACTCATCTTTCCCTGAAGGAGGAGCAGGCAAGGATAGTGCACTGTGGACCGCCAGGGAGTCTATTTCTAAAAGTCTCCTTTTTGTCTGTGGATATGGAAATATTAAGGAGAGTCACTCCCTCCCCCTCCCCATTTCTTGGGTTCTGATCCCCTTTCCTCTGCTAATAGTACCTCATCCTAATTCTTCCCGTACTACTCTTAGTACTGTACCTGGAAGGGTTGGTTTGAAGAGAAAACCCATCAGAATGGACCAATCAGAACCCATCTCTGAACTGTCTGCATCAATTTCAACCTTCTGTGTTGGTTTCCTTAGGTAACACCATCTTCAAAGTCACTTTTCTTTCCTAAGGGCCTCTGTATAAGCTGTTTCCCTGTGAAATATGTTTCCTTATCATCTCACTTGAGTAGCTTCTTTGTCTCCCTTTCGACCTCAACTTAAATATCACTTCCACAACTCAAACTTACCCCTTCAGAGAGGTCTTCCCAGTCCGTTCTATTTAAACCAGGGCTTCCATTTGGATTCTCCATATCAACTCTTTGTTTGTTTCACAACTGAAAGGAACAATTACTATGTTTTAAATATGGACTGACATAAGGAAATGACATGTATTTGCTGCTAAAAATTGAGTTGAAGAAGTACATTGAACCATCTTGTAGAAATATATTTTAAAATATTCAATAGGAGAAAAATTGTTCCAAACCTGGACTGGGATGGAATATTTTTTGGAATACAATTCACAAGCTCCTTCTGGGGAGAGAATTGCATTCCTGATAAATTACTTAAGGAATTTTTCTGAACTTTAAATTACAACTTGTTCTGGGAAAACCAATCACCCGGCCATTTAACCGGATAGAGTGACCTTAAACAAACATTCTTTTGTATCTAATCTGAAAGTGATTAACCTTTCTGTTTTCCTATAAAATATTTCTGCCAAGAGTGAATCTTTGGATTGGTCTGCTAGAGGCCTTTTTCTTGCAGTCAGATTGTAATAAAACATTGTAATTTGCTTATAACTAAATTGCCCGAAAAAGTTTTGCTTTTTTATTTTTAAATTTTTATTT